ACACAGTTGTGTTGGTAGTCGAGTTGGCTCGCGGTCGAAACGTCAACACCCGCCAGCGACGTCGGAGCTGCGCCAGCACCTCGCCGTTGCAAAAGCAGTAGAGCACGGCGACGCACAGGCCCTGCAGCGAGATGGTGAGCGCCGAGACGTATTCGTACGCGAGCCACCAGCTCGCCGAGCGGTCTGGCCGGAAGGGGGTGAGCAAGTACTGCAGGCCGAGCAGCGGCGCCAGCAGGCAGGTGGCGCGCAACGCGTGCAGCGCCGTGGCCGAGGGTCTCGCCGCGCCGCCCGCGCCGCCGCCCGCGCGCAGCTTCGTGCACAGCACGCGCACGATGTTGCACAGAAAGGCGAGGTTGAGCACTACGGTGACACACACCAGCACCGCCAGCTCGGGGCGCGGGGGTCCGTCGTCCATCCAACAGAGCTGGTCGTCGGCGGCGGCGCGGCGCGCGGCGTAGATGAGCGCGGGCGGCACGGGCAGCAGCCAGCCCGCCGCCAGTAGCGCGCGCACCAGCCGGCGTTCGGACACGAAGGCGCTGACGAGCACCGTGTGCAGATACAAGCCCTCGCACAACATCCACGTGTAATTGGTGAGCAGCACGTACTGCAGCGCGACGTTGAGCGCGCGGCACCAGGCGGGCGAGGCGGCCAGCGTGTCGGGCGCGCGGGTCACCAGGCCGTACCACAGCAGCCATGTCGCGTTGTTGGCGGCGAACGACGCGAACAGATTCATGTGGACGGTGATGCGCGCGCACCTGAGACTTCTGCCGATAACATTCATTTTCTTAGCAATCGTTTTGGGTAAAACCGAACATTACATAACCGTTATATGCAAATTTTGTGCGTCAATTAAAGGAACATAAAACTTACTTAAAGTAGAAGAGTATGGCGAGGGAAAGGAGCAAGGCGACGAGCGACACGCTGTAGCCCACCTCGTACACCGTGATGATCTCGCTCACGTCCTGCACACGCGTCAACGCCGCCGTTCAAAATGCGCTACATGATACACCTCTACTTACGTTGTTATCATACAGAACTACTCACGTCTTCGGGTTTCACGCACGTGGTGTAGTTGGACCAGGGCATGCCGGTCAATGGATGTGTGAACCATGTTCCGTTTTCCGTGCACTCTTTATGGGCGAACACTGTGGACAAGTCTGGTGCAGTTTAATATTTCGCGAGTAGGAGGATTAAATTGTTCGAGAGCGGGACATACGTTCGGGGCTGAAGCCGTGCACGAACTCGGGGCAGTGCTCGTAGACCGTGCTGTTGGCGGCGGTGTGAGGCCAGCACAGCCAAGTGTCGAAAGTGCCTTCGCAATACAGCCCTGGAACATTCGGATAAAGTAACTTCTCGATATTTATATAAAAAAAATATGATTTCTAAATCTAATTTTTTTTTGTTACATTTAATAAAACTTTGGTCATATTTTATATCTGCTCATCGCAAATCTGATAAACAACAATATATATTGTATACTAGCCACTGCCCAATACTTACCAGTCGGGCGGCGCGTGAGGTTGTTGCGCAGCTCACAGGCGGCGTAGTCGCGAGCTATGCGCTCCGGGTCGTCCATCGCAGCCGCACAAGTCCTTGCTGCTCACTGCTCACTGCCTCCTAATCAGCGGCTGCGCGCCTGGACACGCACTGTCTGTCCGAGGTCCATCGCGTACCACTTTGCGCTCAGCGTCTGCGCATTGTCGGTTGCCACGTACTCAATGTCTGCTCATTGTAAAGTGGCACAGCTACTCTGCCTAGCGTCCACAATGTCACTCATCACAGGATAATTGCTGTAACAAACAATTGAATAATTATCGACGATAACTTTTTGACGCGTTTAGTAATTAATATACGTCAATCTCACAATTAATATTGCATGTTTTAGATCTCAAAAATACAATTTTTTTTTGTATGAATATTAAACAACAAATGTACTAATTATGTATGTCTATGATTAGTACATTTGTAATCATTTTCTTAGTTAGTTAGCTTAGTTTCATTAATCATTACAGGGAAAATTAAATTAAATTTTATAAAAAAAAGTCGCGGACGTAACGTCCGTGGACATCCGCAACATCAAACGAACTGCAGATGCGTTGTCGGCCTTAACGGAGGATGTACCCCTGTTTCGTGATAGTACGGCTCAGGACAGATAATCCACAGTGCCACATTGCGAGGCAGCAGGTTTCGGGTTGAAAGTGGTTAACTATCGAGGTGATGCGGGTGGTATCCGGCGGTTGATCGTGTCGTGCGGTCACCGAACTCAGAGACAGGAATCGTTCCAAACAATTCTTTGGAACACTCCCCATGGGAGGTACGCAAGGTCCGCATCCCTTATATTGAGCAGATCAAGTGAAGCTCGGACGTTGGCTATTGAAATCGTTCCAGTTTACGTGCGCTCAAATAAAAAAAAAGCTTAGTGGAAATTGAATGTTATAAATCAGACGCGCAAACGATGACATCAGATCGGTTGATTTAAAGTGAACAAGATGTGCGACGCGACGCCGGCCGATTGTTGTCGCGATCACAGCACGCGATCAGATCGCGACAATTCAACAACAACTACAAGATAATTCTCCTGTAACATGATAACGACTGTTGTGATACATTGATATTAATTGCTCTCTCAATGGCAAAGCGCAGCTGTTACATTTTCAAACTTCAATAGACCTAATTACAGATTTACGATGCGGCGAAGCTGGTTGTATAAATGTACCTCGCATGACCTACAACTTCACAAACATGCTTAATAAAAGGAGGAAATGACATAATACGATATTGTTCCACTTTTGTAGTTTTAAACAAAATATATCATTTTGAGATACAATGTATAAAGGAAGTTCCTTAGATAAATAAGGAATACTCGTGCACTAATATAGAGGTGCGGCGCAAGTTCCGTTCACTAATTCACAATTAATTACATTTTCCTGACGAAAACAAACACTTCTGTCCTGCCTGATAAACGATCCGCCCACCGGCACAGGCGCCGCGCCGCACCACGCCGCACCACGCGCCGCGCCACCGACTGATGCCTCACGTCTGATGTATGTACAAGTAAACTTGTCCAGTCCAACATGTCCGAGAATTTCCTATAAATTGTTTTCTATCGGATTAAGCCCACCCACACTGCTCTGCCTAAACTCTAAATGTTCCGGACCATTTGATATCTACATATATTGAATTTCAGATAAACCTATCCACAATAAGTGTGTTTGATTTCAATAGTTAGATTTGACCGATTGAATAAATAAAACATTAAAAATAATAATCGCAATATATTCACTAGGAGCGAAGTTCTGAGTAACAAACGTACATTCACGTAAAAAACTTTTCCTTTTCTGTATTTAGATAAGTAAATAGAAACATGAGAAAAGGGTTATTACGTACGCACCAGCGGCCGCGTCCGGTCGCGCGATTCTATACGAAAAAATCATTTAATAATTTTGGCACAGCGCCTCCGCCGCGCCATCGACTTGAAGGATTTCACAGAAATAGAAAAAGGCGTCGTCTAATTCCGTAACGTTACGTTTACACACGACAACGGCCGGAGGAATGTTTGCTTTGTGTGTAAACATGCAGCAGATGATGGCAACCCGCGCGCCCCGCCTCGCCCCGTCTCACCCCGTCTCACCCCGCCCTTCGCAAGCAGCGAGTCAATGGATCTAACAATATTGCAACAACTCGTACACCTGCAGGTGTACCGTCCACAGCGGAACCGTCTTACATAAGTCTGTAGGTCCGTTGCTCTGCTGCTACTACTACATCAAAAGTTTGTTCACTTACCGTTGTTTTCTGAGACCAAAATCTCTGTATTAAATTTATCGTCATCTCTGTCATTATCGTTGACAAAACAGACATAACGAGTATATATTTTAAACGGAGATTTTCCTCTTAGAAAACCACGGTTAGTAGGATTACTAAAGTAAGTTTTTTAGACGGCCAATTTATAAGGTTTGGTTTTCGTTAGTGTTTATTTTAGGGTCGTTTCTGAGTGTAATTTTTGTATGTTCAACTCAATGTAATACAAATTATTCTTATTTAGTGAATAATTACAACGATAATGAAAACCCTTTTTCTGATATCTCTATATATATATATATATATGTATATGTACAGTCCGCCACCTTACATGACATTCTGATCAGAGTTCGGGCATTCACTATCCAAGTTGTCAGTCATATCATCGTCAATACGTTTGAGACTACTCAAGTCAGGAGTGACGCACATATCTATCTATCTCTATCTCTATATTCTTAAGTATTATGAACCAAAAAGAGTTTCATGCAGAACGTTTGCTTTGATGTTCTGTTAACCTGTTGCTACCAAACTGGTTGAAAAACGGTTTTTGTCATCATGTAAATACACAATTTTTTTTTTTCGAAAGTTTTACATATAATTGTTATTTATTTTATTATAATTAAAGGTTTGCATTGTATACATGACATTTCTTTAACAATGATAAATAAAAGGATCGCAAGGACGAAAGAAGAAGTGTTTTCATTTCAGTTATTTTATGAAACATATTATTCAGTTATAATTCTTCAGGCAATATTTAATAATGTGGAATTCACATTTTGTTTTCGAATGAGAAATTAAAAACTTCACGTTATGTGAGACACTAATTTTATGGTATTAATATTAGTATTTTATCCAAACATATATCTGAAAGTACTCTGATGTTGCGGATATCCTCAGGCTTGAATGATCACCTTCGTAATCCCTAAGCTAGTTTATCCCCTTGTCTTATATAAAAAAAATGTGCTCGTTGTAGAGATCGGGAGCATTTAATGAATATATTTTTATAAATTGCCTGCTCCACATTGAATATTGGTGAAAAATAATATTATAATTTAAGATTATTAAAGGTTTTTATCTCGGCTTTGACATAATATATATAAATAAAACATATATTTTCCTCAAATACGATCAAATAGGTAAGTATACCTGTTGCGGGTTTTTAGAAAATTTATCTCTTGCGCCGAAGAAGTCGTAGGCGAATGCTAGTATAGGATGAATTCGTAAAAAACATGCGGATGCTTTGACAAATTATTTTTTTTTTTTTTGAAATTATTTAGAAAAAGAAAATTCCATTTTTTACCTATTACCTTAGAAATTTCTGAAGCGTCGTCTGAAATCCACATTCTTGTGAAGTTCACAAACCAATCCTTCGCTAAGGGTAATGTTTATATTTTGCTATGCATTTAAACCTGATTAATATAAATGCGAAGTGAATGAAAAAGTACGTGAGTATATTCGCGGAGCAATGCGTGCACGCGTCAATAAGACCTACACACGATCAACTACGACGACAACGTGCGGCCAACTGCCGTCTCCGTCTCCGCTCGCCGCTCACCGTTCGCCGTTCGCCTCGCCGCGCGCCTCTTTCCCAGTTTCCACCAGTTCATCATACAAGTTCAGATGGAGCAAAAATATATATATACTTGAGTCCACACATACAGCACGAACAATTTACCAACATCATTTATCGACAGTGGAACTATACCATAGGATAACAGAAAACTTACTAGCTTTTACTAGTAGTTTTATTTTAAAATAATTCTTTTTGTAATAAAAAACCCTATACTTACGACAAGTATTAGGCTATACAGTCTCCCGCCATTTAACATAGGTGAGTAAATTGATGCCCACGGAAGTAAGCGAAAGCGTTCCCGTGGTGCCCGCCATAATGCGTCAGAGGGCAGTCAGGTTTTAGTGGGTATTCTGGTCACCTTCTGTGGCCGGCGAGTCCCACACTCCCTACGCCATTGCACCGCCCGGCGTAGGCGTGCGTAAATGTATTTCCTGACTATGCATTTCCTGACTATAAAAAAAAATAAAAAGGTGAGTAAATTGATAAAATTGTTATACAAGACAGGGACAAAAATTGCAAACCAATAGCAGCAAAGTTGGATGGTTGCCATGGTAACGGTTAACGGTTACTCTCAGCCAATAGCGAAGGCCTTCGTCTGAGCATTTGAATTTTGACATTAACAATTAAAAGTTCTACGCAACATAAATAATAAAACAGTTTTGTTTTTTTTTTGTTTTTTGTGATAAAATCTGGAGCAGGAACAAACGAAGTAGAATAGACTAATTGGTTCGCCTTTTCGGCCTTAAATAGTTATCTTTCTCCAATGTATGAGTGCCAGCGAACTATGTACATCAATTAGACGTGTAATTAATTAATGCTTATGATTGACCAACCACTAAGTATTTTTATTAGTTATTATGAAGAACACGGTAATTGCCGCACCATTGGCAGCACTGTGTTAGTGGCGTTCTGTTCGATTTGTTCTGTAAAGCAAAATGTAAAATCTATGACATGGACTTGACATAGAAAAAAGCATACAAGGAAAGCCGCAAGAGAGTCATTATAATTTAGTTTTACTTACGCTCATTACTTATTAAAGAGGCGCGCGTATGCATCGGTCAAGATGGCTTGCAGTGTTGTCTACGTTGTGTTGTTTCATATCGGGCGCGAACATTAATAATAAAACTTTTGTTTCAGATACATGGTCCATACAAAATTAAATAAAATAAGACCACATGTAGATGTGGCGGATACACACACACTCACATCCATCAATACTATCATTCCTTACATTTACTCATTCATTCAAACATTTATTTATTTCTTACATTTAAAAAGTAAATAACAAATTAAATATTAAAAAGCACATAAAAATTTTACCTTTTTTTATTATTTCTATTATTATATAAACAAAAAAAAAAAATTGATAACTTAATATGATTATAACGCCCTCTAGTCGATGCATCGAAAACGCATCGCGTTTAGTTTGCATCGATTCGTAATGCATTTAAAAAATCACTTGTCACGACCATCTTTGATCTAATGCAACAATTATCTCTGTAGCTTCCGTGTTATTAAATATGGTAAGGTTTTGATTTCTATTTACTTCTGTGATTATTTAGTTTTGTTTAGTTAACCTTCTGAACTAATAAAATTGTGTGGTGTGATTAAAAGAGTGTTTAATTCCGGCAACGGACTGCATCCTCAAAGAACACTCTCATCTTAACCCCAAATAGATGTATCCACATGGCTAATATGGTCAGTCCAAACTAGCCCTATCAACCATGAGTTGGCGCTGCCCCGCATCCACCTGTAATCTGTCGCTTTCACACAACTTATGTACACGTACCGTAAATAAGCGAGATAGATCAGTTAATTTTTTTTCTTTTTTTTTTGTTCTGTTTCGTGCAGGGTTTTCAATATAGTTTGCCATTGTGTCACTTTAAATTTTGCTTATACCAGTGACCACTAGAGGGCGATAAAATTTTATAGATTCTGCTTCTGATTCTGATTTTTTTTTATTTATCGATCGCTAGATGACGAAACTATTACGAAAGTGAAAATGAACGTTGGAGTTTTTTTTTGTCACTTTAGTGTATATTATATTAAATTAAACAAGATGTGAATTAATACTATTATCCAAGTTTAGTTGCACCACTGGCCACTAGATGGCGACAAAACTGTATAGTTGACTCTGTTAGATATGTATGATGATATGTACATAGATATGGACACAGAGTAAAAAAAATATATTAGTGACGCGATGAATTCTTCTTATCTTATCTAAAATACACGAAAAAAGGTTTCCTAATGCTCATGTGCCATTCAACCGCGGGGTCGTTGTTGCCGCAACAATAGTTTTTTTTTTTTTTCATACTTTACCACATTTACATTTACCATATTACTCCATTTCATCAGCGTTTAAAGATACATTACGCTACGCGCATCATAATTCCAGTTGAGTCGTTAATAAGCTGTTTTATTATAGATATCGATAAATTCGCAGTCGTTGCGCTATTACACTCACTATCCCAACGAGGGTTGTCCCGCTCAGTAATAGATGTCGCTGTTGCGGAAAACTATAAACAGAACGAGATGTTAACACAGAGTTCAGATGCACGGTAGTTACAACATCGACATCTTGTCCAATAAAATCGCTATGATCACCGTCAAAAGGGTCAACAATGAGTGTATCACTATACTGTTCTAATTCATAGATGATCTTTGCGGTTGGAAGCGAACAGGAAAGAAATATTGTGTAGACAATCGAAGACTTAATTTATTAAATAAATAACTTAAAAGACTTTGTATTCCAGACAAAAATACGTGATTAATTATTCATCGCCTCATCCTATGCTTTAATAATTTCACAATCTTCTTCATAGTAGTCAGTAGTCTAATAGATATAGGATAGGATCTTACTCACGGTCAGGTTGACCCGAGTTCGAATCCCGGATACTACGAAATATTATGTGCATGTAGGTAGGTAGGTAGGTAGGTAGGTAGGTAGGTAGGTAGGTAGGTAGGTAGGTAGGTAGGTAGGTAGGTAGGTAGGTAGGTAGGTAGGTAGGTAGGTAGGTAGGTAGGTAGGTAGG